GTACTCTTTTTACCTACTTCTGTTGGTTTTCTCCCACGTTGGTTTTCCACGGAAGAGGTTTTTAATGAGGCTGTTGGGCATGTTTAAAATTTTCCTTGTGTTTTACGTTTCTTTTCTGCTTTGATTTTTCTGTTTGTGGCTTCTGGCTCTTAGCAGACCATACCTACTATGTTTGTGCTTCTTAGGAGACCTGCGAAGCAGGAGGCGTGTTGAAAACATGAGCCTGATTTTATATACGAGCCATAAGCACTCATGTGCATATGTAAGTGCTTACATATCTTTCATGTCCTTGTTGTGCGTTGCTCCCTGAACTTTGTTTTCTCATGTTATTTTTTTCTTCTCTTACCTAACCAACAAACACACCCAATTCCTTCTGACCCTCGCTTGTTGTTTCCTCTACTCTACATAGTCAACAAACCTACCACCTTCTTTTCTTTCTCTTGACTCCACTCTCTGTATACAAGAAAAATACTTTTCTCTCTTTGGGCATTTACTCCCTTCGGTTCCGTAAAACCCTCATCAATTCAACCACAATTTCCAACACTATACTTGCCCAAAGCACCGAGTGAGCTATGATGATTCCCAAATTGGGTGGAGGCCCCATCCTTTCTCTCACTGCTAATCCATCAATTTCACCGATGTGTAGGCCTTACAGTTTATCACTCGCCACGCGCCCTTGCCCCCGTTCCGCGGAACACTCTAGCCAATCAGCCAAAATCCTCTGCCAGCTGCCAGGCCTGGTAGCCTAGCTGCACTGATCTAAGACTGCGATACCTCTTCCTTCTCTGGGCACCGTGAACCAATCTTAAAATCCTTTCTTCGGAAAGGCCTCTAGACCACCTGTCTCTGCCATCCCAACCCCCGCTAGCGAGATGCCTCCCTTCCCGCTTGCATAATACCGACTATTTTGGAGAGAAGTGGCAGGACGGCAGGCATCAGAGAGTACGGTTATTGACAATATCTTATCTAAGCCAAACAGATCCAGGAGCCGGTCAAATGTAGCTCCCGGAAGCGGATAAACCCCTACGCAAGCAGACTCAGGGGGGGGGGAGTCAAGGGAGGATAATGAAAAAGGCTAAAAATAGTATCTTTCACCAGCATCAGCAGACCGCCAGCGATGCCTGATTCTTCCGATTGAAGAAAAGTGAACGGTACAAATACTAAATGAAAGCACCGACACCCAGCCATCTGTATCGTAGAGGCCTCTACCAGTATTAATGTCCTAGGCCAAGAACCGAACAGCTAGGCTATCAAGTACACTGACCCCCCCCGGTCCGAAACCAGATTAGCCCTCTTCATTTACTCCACACAAAAATGCAGACCGATTCATCAAGTGCCCTATGCGAAAAACTTTCTTCATTCGTTAACACATAGGCTACGACACCCCGTATGTCCATGGTTTGCAATGACTTCTGCCATCAGGGCTGTCAGCCATGTCAACTACCCCCTACTCCTTCCGCCGACTCCGGGAATCTTATCCCGTTACTCATCAGTATTGACATGCTTGACCTACATTCACCACCGGCTCGGTGGATTAACCCCGGGCGAGTCGTAATGGTCATATGATACGATATCCGTCATGGAAATCACCCCCCGAGTCCCCCCCGTTGGAGACGTGACCTCGCGGAGGTAACATGATTCCGGGCATTCAACTAACTTCTGCAATGCAAAAAATTTCCTCGACCGACTCCAACTCCTTGCTGAGACAGGAAATTCGTGTCCGATGTCTGCAGCACTCTGAGTATGATAGATTGACTATTATCTACTTGCCGCCTCTTAGAGGCCCTCCACAGATGCCGGAGTATTTCACTGGTTATATGCTGGATGAGAGCTGGCAGGATAGGTAACTCCGTCTATGTTTGCAGGTATGAGCCCCCAGTGGTCACCTGGTAACGGCACTGACCGAGGTAAACAGCAAAGGAATAGTAGTCGAGCGCTAAGGTAAAAGGGATTGATATAGGTTCCGGGCAATAGAGGTTGGAGATTAGGCAATAGGAGATATAAGAGTAGTTGGTCGAACTGTTGGATAGGCAGGTAGGATGTATCGTAGGAATGCAAGGTCATAGCAACTTTTGGAACACTAGGGAATGATAAGGGATCTTCGAAGGATTTACACAAGTTTGTTTGATTGAAATCCTTAGACATATCATGGGCTCAACAAGAAATTATGTCCATAGTTAGAATGAACCCTCACCCATTTCTAAGGAGCTCGCCAAAGGGCACTTCTCCGCTCAGGAAAACTCTAGAATTGTCCAATCCGCTATTCATAAATCCGTCCACTAGCAAGACTTCTCGGCAGGTAAATATGTATTGATGCCTGCCGCTTGTAGAACCTTGGATACATCCCCACCTCTTCTAGAAAGCTTCCTTGTTTAATGCGTTGCCGTGTTGTTTGGGTCGGGGGTTGGCGTATCCTCGACCCAGGCTCAGTCGCTATCACTAAATGTGTGGGATACCTGGGGAATGGATCCTAGCGACCCCTGTAATACTTCCTCATTACACAATAGACCATATGAGAAACCAGCAGAACCCTACTCAGAAAGAAATCGGTCGTATACGCTCGGACAACTCCATATTCCAATCCTCCAATTCTCAGAAGTGGCCTGTCCAATGGTTAGCCGCAAAATGGAGGTGGCCATATTTCCGCGTAAAATTATAGACAGCCTCCTAACACCTCCGGCTGCTGTGTGTTGTGAACACCAGTACGGGCAGCCACCCTTATCGATGCCGTGGGGTTGGGGGTATACGAGACGTGGCCCGGCATATATGCCTTTCGGTTCATATAACAGGCCTATTCCTGCGGACTAATCTAATCAATCCAATCGCTTCTTCCATCTATCTCTTACCACATCCATCCGACACCGGTAGCGGCCATCGATAACCGGCTGTTCTCAAGATTTCCCGGTGATAGATAGGGAATATAGAGATCGGTCAGGATGAAACCAAATCCCTGGAAAATGGGGTAAATTATCACTTACCTTAATCAGGCAATGCTTCTTCAATCATAAGCTATGTGGCTGTTGAGAGCATGGCGGTTCCCGGAATCAACAATCCACACGAAAGGGGCTTATAGATTTCCCGTTGTTTTTCAGACTCATGTGGAAGGTTCCGGAGGTCCTTGATCCTACTGCCCCGCCTGACTCAAGTGAGGAATTAATTTCCGGAGTATGTGAGGTCACGCAACCGCTACAATCGTTCGGTATCCAGGACCTTTCGGGTCCTGCCACGGTGGTGGGTTACCAAGAACCTCGGTCCGACATTCTGCTAGATCACAGGGTGCTGTGGTGTCAGTACCACTGAATTTCTCCACGAGCCATCCTCATTCTCTTCAGGAATCTCTAAAACCCCGGATGGCAAAAGGAGGTTCTGATCTGCTAAGGGGTTGAGGGATCTGGCAAGTACTCTGATCGTTTTTTTTTGGACTCCCACGGACCACCCCAGGGCCCCGCATCCCAATTCCTAAAAATCGGAGCAACATTAGTGTAATAGTGGTGACTTCCTCCTGCCCATTCAGCTGGACAGTCATTGCTCGTGAGCGAAGTTCTCTCTCTCTCTTTCGTGGTATGGGGTACATACGGTACAGTACAATAATGAATTTCAAAACTTTATCAATAGTTTATCTAGGGAGATGGGTTACCGACAGGCAACAAAAAAATTGGGCTGGGCTAGATGTGAGCCGCTGAATTTATAACACAAAATTAGGAGCCACAGAATATGATATCATACAAAGAGCCGCCAAGTGACAACAGGTGCCCCCAGCATATCCCTCCGGACGTTTTCAGTAGCCGAGCTATCGACACCACCGCTACTCCGCCCGGTCCCTCCGGCACCAAGAATGGGTGCCAGAAGGATTCGAGATCTCCTAATGTTATTGTATCCTCATCAGTGATTTCTCCGCCAGATTACTGCTAAGACCCACCGCTTCCCGAACCGTCGCCAAAACCTGGCCCTAAAATCTGAATATTTTGTACCGGGGTATTTTATCATACTGAAAGTGTGTAAAATCTGGAACCGATCATGGAGTGATATCTTGGTAAAAGCCGGATCCACAATACCGGTACCCGAGCAGGGTCTGCCCTCCCGCCCTTCACAATAGACTCGAAGTAGTGTTGAGATGGAGGGGGGTCAGCAATATCCTTCAGTGGCCTGAAGGGATTCCGGAAATTCACAAGAACAAGCACTGGTACAACTTGAAGTACGGTACTGTAGAGTAACTGAATTGAAAATAGCGACACGCTACCAGTGCGTGGGCAAGAAAAGAAAAGAAAGAAAAAAATTAAAAAAAAGCGTAATTCCGAACACCTCCCTCCATTCCCCTCGGCACTGCTACTGCTGCCATAGCCACCTGGTGAACAGCTCTGAGCTCGGATAGGAGAAGACAAAAAAATTGGTGTCTGTCCTTGAGCCTCCTCCCCTTCGACTCAAGGGCTTCATCGCACCATTTATTGATTGGTCTCAAGAAGCAGGCGCTTGAGAGCCTTGACACCCGTTGATTGGCCTGGTTCGCCTCAGCTGCAATGTGACATTTTTTTCGAACGATAAACCCTCAGCCGAGTTTAAGCCCGGCATCCAGACACAGGGAAAAGTATGTCGGTAGAATCACTCCAAAACGTGCTGTACGAGTATAGTACGGCGCAAGTACAGTAACGTATCCCGCGCTGAGCCGAAACACCGGTGACATGAGGCCTACTCACACACCTTCGCTATGAGTACTGCCCGTAACTTACCGGTACTTTGTTATTGTCCTCACCAAATATTAGACTTGCGGAGGCGTTCTGGGCAAGGGTATGAGTGAACCTGCGGAGGTCTATCATACCCGTACTTCACAGCCCGGAGGTTCTCGCCCGTGCTCCCCTTATTCATTAGTATCCAATAGTAAACAACCACACAATTTCCCAAACTAGCAGTAGCCCAAATCCCAATTAGAGCTCAACTAATCATATTGTCCAAACTTCCACAGAGCTGACAATTGCCTTGGGCAAAGTTTCTTTACTTCCCGCAGGCGTCTCTCCACCTCTCCCCCCCAGGATTCTCTGTGTTCCAAATCCCAGATTTTTTTTCCTGTACCCTAACGGATGTTCACACTATCAAAACTTTACTTTTCACCAGACTTGAGTATCACTAGCTAGGGCCCTATTCCTCAACTACGAACGAACTACCACAGTTAAATCTTGCTTCTATCACATCCGACACGCAGGAACGGCTTCACATCCGACCAGATTTCAGTATAAAACTTGATGGATCAGTAAGGCACACTTTCCTTTAGTGCCTCTCTCTTTGAAAAAATTAGTATCACGAATTTAACAACTTTATTAGCACCACCCGAGTCGAGCCCGCTATTCAGGGAAGCTCCAGCGGAAATAATGGTAATAGCAGTGATTCCGGTAGTAACAATACTACTATCCAAAACACGCCTGTAGTGTCGGATATCGCCAACATCGGAGTTGGGAACCAAGGCGGCGCGTCTAAGGTTGGAGGTGGAGGTATTATCAGCATTCCCGAAAGATTCCCGGCAAAGAGCTAAGGTGCTATTAGAACCAAAACAAGCATCTAAACCATATCACTTGATCCCCTACGGCAGGAATAGCGCCTTCACCGGCCGGAAAAATGTCTTGGAAGCGGTGGAGAGATATTTGGAACCTAGAGCACACAACCGAATCGCGCTCCATGGATTAGGTGGTTCCGGGTATGTATCAAATATCCCAGCATATGAAGGATGTACTAATATCGTTTAGGAAAACACAGATTGCCCTAGAATACGTTTATCGGCGCGCCAGCAAGAGCAGTTGTCATGTGTTTTGGGTGAAGGGAAGCGGGCTATCAAAATTCAGCGAGGGCTTTAGGGATGTCGCACATCATATTCGAATTCCTCTAGTCAGCACCGAGACAGACGAAGAGAGCTACCTAAAGAGCATAAGGAAATGGTTTGAAGGCCCAAACAGCGGTGACTGGATTCTAGTCATCGACAACGCCGATAATGATGCCGACTTTATCGAAAACAACGGTCCCATCGCCAAGTTCGTACCACAAGGCACGAGAGGGACAGTGATATTCACCACTAGATCTCAGTTAATTGCATCCAGGCAGGGCTGTAAAATAATCGAGGTCGGAGAAATGGAGGAAGACGATGCCCTGGAGTTGTTTTCAAAACGCGTTACCGGCGGGGACAATTTGGGAGATGAAGGAAAAACTGCTATCACGAGGATCCTAGCATCCTTGAACCACTTGCCGCTAGCCATTGTGGGCGCGGCTGCCTTCATGGCCGAGACCAAGACCTCACCAACCACTTACTGGAAGATTCTTCGGGAGAGCGATGAACGAGCAAAACAACTATTTTCACAGCAGTTTTGCGATATTCGACCAGAATCCGATATTACCGAAAGCACCTTCGGTACCTACTTTATCACCTTTGATAGAATCACACAACAGATGCTCCAAGCTGCGGATCTCCTACGGCTAATGGCATTCCTCGATTGTCAAAACATACCAGAGGAGCTATTGAACCATAGCGGACTGGAAGAGATGGATGAACCGGTTGAATTTCGTCAGGCCATTGGAAGACTTTTAGCATTCTCGTTGGTTACCATTGTTATCCGTGAGAAGAAAACATATTATGAACTTCATCGTTTAGTCCAACTGTCCTTGCAAGTATATTGCCCAATTAAGCAGTTGAAGCAAGCCAGGGCCGCCGCGCTAAGAGCGGTTTCACGACTATTCCCGCAGGGTGAGAATGGGCGGCGAGAGATTGGCGCTTTGTACATTCCTCACGCTCTTGCGGTAACTCATAATTCACGAGATCCCATTGCCGAAAAACTTTGTTTTCACATGGGGCAGTACTTCCTGGATAAAGGCTCCTACCATGATGCGGAAATCCAACTACGCCGATGTATCGCACTTCGCGGAAAGGGTAAAGATTATGACTGGGGTGATGAGAGTCAAAGAGGCTTTATTTTCCTAGGGGCAGCAACTTCATATCGAAAAACAAAAATTAAGTCCAATGTGGTGGTGAAGATGTTTCGGAGCATAGTAGGAGGTCTTAAGAAGTACTCACGTTCAAACAGTGCTGACATGCTAAAGTACACAAACTGCTTGGCTCTCATACTGAAAGACCAAGGAAAGTACCGTGAATCAGAGGCGATGAATCGGCGTACACTGGAGAGGCGGGAGAAGATTCTTGGACCAGACCATCCTAGCACCCTAATAAGTGCCAACAACCTGGCTAATGTGCTGCCAGACCAAGGAAAGCACGATGAATCAGAGTCTATGCACCGGCATACACTGGAGATGCGGGAGAAGATTCTTGGACCAGACCACCCCAACACGCTAAATAGCGCTAGCAGCCTGGCTACTTTGCTGTGGGAACAAGGAAAGCACAATGAATCAGAGGCGATCTACCGGCATACACTGGAGAGGTTGGAGAAGATTCTTGGACCAGACCACCCGGACACCCTAACAAGTGCCAACAA